TATATATATAAAATAAAAATAAAACATCCATCCATCTATCCATCCATCCATCCTAGCTGTATGAAATTGGATTTTTTTTTCATTTCATGATTTATGTGCTAATTGCAGTTAAATTATGTTTGTTTAAAGGGAAACTTAGATTTCTCTTTGAAGTATTTGTCACCATCCTGAGTTTTTGAGCTGATGTAGGCATTGGTTTTAGTTTTTGTTTGGTTTGCGTGTTCCTTTAAACACCCCTCATTGGATTGTCAGTGGCGTGGGAGGTGCCTTGCAAATATTAACAGATATTGTGCCTGAACCTATGCTAATCCAAGCTCATCTCGTTTTTAGACATACCATGCTTCAATTTTCTGAGTCATGAGAATGATTTATCATAGCAGAGACTCAAGACAAATAAATATGGCCTGCTTTGTTGGGGGAATCTATAAGCTGAAACGTGTAAACAGTTGCCATTAAGCTAAAATGCCTTTGTTTTACCCATCTTGGATTTGGTTTATCTTTAAGAGATAGGAATTGTTTCATAATAATAAAACTTGAAAAGAATCCGAGCTTTACTTGAAATTCTGCAGAACATCCAGGTGGAGTGCAAATAATAAGAAAGGGCTTTGTGCAATGACTGATATGGCAAAAGAAAACCAACAGACAAAACAAGAAGGACATGTTACACAATATTTAAACATTTCTGACCAAAGTAGTCATAAGCTTAATCTGTGGCATAGATATTTTGGAGTTAGTGATTTTGGAGCGAGAGTTCAGTCTGATACGTTTTCAGAAGCGTGGATTTGTTGGATGTCCCATATTAAACCAATTCCTTGCTAAGTTTAGGTAAATGGCAGCTCTCTAACCTAAGGGAAAAATGGCAAATGTGTTATTTAAAAGTTATTTATAATACCTTGTCATTAATGTTTGAGGTGTTCTAGAGCCATTGGCATACAATTCAGTGTAATTTCATTCCATTCTGTTGTTTACACAATGATTACTTAAAGACTGACTGCAGAGGTAAAGGAAAATAAAAGTGTATTGCACAAATAGATTGCTGACTTTTCTTTCATGATGAGTCTAGATTTATTTTAAATTATTCTCTCCTTATTTTCCCTCCTCTTAACCACTAGCCATCCCTGGACTGAAACACAAAGGTCAGTTTCTTTAGCCTTTTGTTGTTGTCCTTGTCGTTCATTGTGAGTCACAGGAGGTGGGATTACTAGCCAGTCTTGACTGATCTTGAAAAAAGCGAACAGAGTTGGATCTGATTCATATTTGAATGGGAGACCACCATGAAATCCCAGGGCTGCGGGCTACTTTGGAAAGTTGAAGAAAAACAGTCCTGGGAAAGGAAAATAGTAAAGTGTTTCTGTTCTGTTGCCAAGGAAACTATAGGAACATGTCAGAGTAATCTCCAGGGGTTGAGTTTGATGGAAGGGAGTCTTTCTGTTATAATTCCTGCTAATGTCTGTTGTGCAAAGCAAGAACGTTTATTTGGAACATTTAGAGGTAAACCTTCTCAGAACCATTCATTCCCTGGAGTCTATAAGTAGTGCAGCATAAGGGAATCACATGACGCAAGTCCATTAACACTATCTAGACACCAATGTTGCCAGTCCAAAAGGACAGTTACAGTTTATTAAGGACGTTCCATGCGCCAGTAGACATCCTGGGTCTCTTGAGGTTTTTTTTCCGAGTTTTCATGATGGGGAAAGAAAAGTGTGTGTGTGTTTGTTTCCATCTCAGGCTAGAAATAGGTATGTTTATCTCATAACACTATTCACCTATTTATATCTTGATGCTTATAGAATCTAGATAAAGAGTGTATTATTAAGCTTACATATCACTTTATTTATTTATTTACTTGCTTACAGGACTTATATGGCCACCTATCTCCTCTAAGGACTCTAGGCGGCTCACAACAATCCATCAAATGTAGTTAAAGACAAAGGTATCCTTCCCCCTCAGGCACTAGACCTAACATCCCCACAGCTCCACTCCCATCCTAGCCCAATGCTCGGGGGAAGAGACAAGTCTTCACAGCCCTCCCGAAGGCTAAGGGTAGGGGTCCTTCTGATCTCAGGTGGGAAGCTGTTCCAAAGGGCTAGGGCGGCCACCGAGAAAGCGTGCCTCCAAGGCCCCGTCAGTTGGCAACATATAAGGTGTTACACACGCTGCTCCCAGGTTCGGCTTATGGTCACTCACTCACACACTCACAGCCT